GAGTCATTGATGCCGTAATTAAGACAATAAGCGCCGACACACTGACAGCACTTGTCGTGAAACCATCGATAGGATGAGGCGCCCATCGAAGTACAGGAAGCCTTGCATTTGGTCCAAGACATGCACTGAGACATGAAGGCCACCGTACAGTTGACAGGGATGTCCTTCTCGGTGTCGACGCCATCCGTGGTGTTGGTGTCGCTCCTATTAGCGGTCACCGACTCCTCCATATACGCCAACTTCATTGGCATCGTATACGATGTCCAGCGAAGCAAATGATCCGTTTGTTCGGTCAGTACGGAGAAGAGCTCCTGTTGTGGCTCCGGGAGCTCCTCGACGTGCGATTTGGACGCCGGGCCCGGGTCTGTCGTGTTTGGTTTGGGACACATCTGGACACAGGAGCAGCAGTCGTGGTACAGGTAGTCGAGACAGTAGTGACAGTCCCGACTACAGGTGCGGTTCTGCTTAAAGTCGGCGCACTTACAGCTCTCGGTTAGCATACATTTGCTGACTATTGACGCGCAAACGGCTTCATTGCACCCGAAAACAGCCTTTCCTTCAAATATGACAAACACTGTGAAGACCAACGATGAGAACCAATACATTATTGACTCAAAATTAGGCCCAATGTATGATAAGCTCACAAAAGTGGCCCAAATAAGCTAAATAATGTAGCTAGCACAGTTTGGCACAGTTTGACAATTGATATATTGAAATATGGGATTCAATTGTGTGATAAACCCTTTGATTGATACCAATTGACAAATAATATTTAAATGAAATACAAATCACGGCTTTAATTGTGGAGCAAATTATCAAACATTTTGAATAGCATTTGAAATAAGTATTAAATAATTATTACGTAATTAAAGAAACTGTTAGATAATGATAAGGACTGACATCTGTTGCTGTCTATGGTTCACCTTTTGGTTAGGATTTTGGGTATACAGGTACAGGTAGGTACACAGGTATTTAAAAAGTTACACAAAGATAATTATATTTTTCAATTTACCTGTAATTCTCAATTAAGACACGGATTTCATTACAAATTAAACACAAATCATTTCACATGAAAATTGTATGAAAGAAAACAATATTTAATTTCATATAACAATTATTACACAAATATCTGATCATAACTTAGAGTTAGTCTTTTCGGGCAAATGAAGAATACCTTCGACTTCGATGTCGACCCCCAGTGGAAGACTGGCCACACCTATAGTACTGCGGGCCGGATAGGGACGAGAGAAGTACTTCTCCATCGTTTGGTTAACTGTCGGGAAGTTCTTGTAGTCTGTGATAAAAATGGTTAGTTTCACGATTTGGTTCAGTGTAGCGCCCGATGCCTCGCAAACTGTCTTCAGATTCTTGAACACCTGGTCTGCCTGTGCTTCAAACGGTTCCAACACTAACTTATCCGCCTTCACATCCATGGCTACCTGTCCCGAGAGGTACACAATATTGCCGGCTTTGATGGCCTGGGAGTATGTGCCCACCGGTTGTGGTGCTAATGGAGTCTTAATCTCTTGTTTTGAAGACATCACTCTTTTCTGGTCCATAAAGTCACCAAATTTTGAATTAAATTTAATAAAATTATATTAAAAGTAAAGTTTTTAATGAATGCAATAGTTTTTAATTATTAAATAGTGAACTCAAGACTTACGGCAATAGATGTGATCAGTGGTAAACACCTTGGAGTCAGTGTTTTCAATGAACTAATCATCATTAATATGATTGAAAATCATATGCAGATATTTAGTCAATTAACTGAATAGTGTTTCCAATATTGATTTGTTTATTAATTATAAACAATAATGATAGATAAGTTTGTAGACTAACTTGTAAGAAATGAAAAAGTACCAGTATGCTTGCCAATCATTGATTGCCATTTCGATATATTTTTGTTATAAACCAGTATTTGGCACTTGAATTGCATTTAAGATTATGTTTCAAAACATTAAATTATGTTTATCTGACATCTGTTGATATCATGAGCAAATTTATTATATAGAATTAGGTTTATCTCTATTTTATTAAATTGACCAACCTCACTTTATAAATTATCAGTATTTTACTACTGTAGGTAATAATATTATATCATGTATTAAGAAAACGCTTTATATGCACTAATAATGCACTAATACTGCACTAATAAATGAGTATCTGATATGATTTGTGGTATAAATAAATGATTTAAAATAATATTACAAATATAACTTTAAATTTAATTCCACAAATAGTAAAATGACTTGAATATCATAAATTATAATGTACTGTACTTTATAGAATATTAATAGACCACAATAGTTTTTTCTAAGAATTCAATTAACTTTCTATTTAAAATATTCATGGCCAGACTATTAGCATTTAAATATTCAGCAATTTTATGTCTTAACAAACAAACCTTAATTACAATTAATACTATTTTTACACAGAAATGAAGAGAAATAGTAGAATTTATATGAATAAAGGAAATTACATAAATAAAAAGGAAATGTAAGTCAACCTAATAAAGTACTACAATAACGATATACTCAATGACTACATAAGCATGAAAATTAATTTTACCCAAAGTGCAAGTGTTATACACAAATGAATATAATTTATGTTTTTAGTGATACCGTAGTTCTGTTATCATTTAATTTAATTAATATAAAGAATATTACTGAGCATTTTATTTTACAATATCACACAAATATTTGTTAAATTTTATTGTGTGACATGTTTATAGATTATAAATTATTTTAGATTTGTTGTAATGTAAATTTATTATTCAATAAAAAAATTTCACTAAATTTATTCGCCATGATAATACGGTTACCAAAGTAAGTTTAAATATGTGGCAATTTGCTAATCAATAAAATGTTGAAAAACAAAAGCTAATGTTAAGATGAATACGTAAGTTCTCTAGCTGTATAAATAACTAGTAATTAACTTAAAATCAATAAATTGTAGTTACTTTTCATTATATAATACAATTCTCGTGCTATATATTCTGGATATCATATGTGGAAATTTTATTCGGTATGAATAAGTTTCCATAACATATCAGTACAAATAATTTATTGAAAATTCAAAAATTGTTGGCAATATTTAGTCTAAATAAATTCTTTTGTAATTTATTTTCTCGCTCTTTTGTGTATATATTATATTGTTTTTCATTATTTAAAAGTATAGATTTAATTCACAAATAATTAACCTTTTATTAAGTTGTTATTTTCATCAGATGCCAGACTATTATCATTAAGTTTTCAATGTTTTATATCTCGTTTTGAAAGGAATAAAACATTTGCGTCCATATATTCCCAGTTGTGCTCCCATTAAACGAATTTTTAGTTTGTTAAAAATTTCATAAGTTTTCAATCAATTGTAATTTTTGTGAATTTAGATGTAGACATGTATTGCTCAATTAAAATTATTGCATTTATTTGTGTAAATTTGTCATGTTTTACGTTTATTGTGAATGCATTCAATTTACATAAGAGGGCAAGTGATGATGGGGTAAGTTTTCATTTTCATTTTAATCAATTTCCATTATTAGTAGTAATATTCTTTAGGAATTTTAAGGTGTCCTAATAGTTTTATTTTATAATTAGTTATTATGTCTAAATTATGTATAAATTAATAATTTTAATAAATCAAAAATTTAATACCATATTAAATATAAAGTTATTCCGTTTGTTACAGTTCTGTAACCCAACAAAACCCGATAAACTGAATGTTCATATTATAAGTCACACTCATTTGGACGCGGGTTGGGTTAAGACATACGATGGCTATTATCACGATAGTATGAATTCATTGACATATCTTTTACTTATATGTTTGTAACACAAAATCAAAATTATTTCCAAAAGGTGTTTTCGATATCATGAGAACAGTGATTGAAAGTCTGGTGAGTGAGCAGGGTATTGCCAATAATAGACGGTTCACTTTTGTGGAGATGACTTACTTCAGCCGATACTGGAATGGATTGAATGGTACACAACAGGAAGAGATCCGGAATTTGGTGACGACCGGGAAATTGCAGTTCACGAGTGGGGGTTGGGTTATGAACGACGAGGCGTCCCCTCATTACTCTATGATTATCGACCAAATGAGTTCAGGTCACCGATGGATAAACCGTACGTTTGGTCCCCAATACGTGCCGACCACTGGCTGGCAGATCGACCCCTTCGGACACACCAAAGAGTACGCCTCTATTCTCTCGCAAATGGGATTCAATGCACTCTTTCACGGAAGAATCGATTACCAGGTATTGAATGACAGGTTTTTAGCAAAGTTTGTGTCATTAATGTCTTGTAAACCAATTGTAGGACAAAGCAAAACGAATGAAAGAGAAAAGTATGGAATTTATTTGGAAAACCGATGAGAATCTGGTGTTTGATAACTACATGTTCACCGGTATTACTCCCAGTGGTTACTATCCCGCGGAAGGTGTATGTCTTAACTGTTATTATATGAATAACGCGCCGACACTTATCAGGCAAGTGAAGACACAATCGGCTGGTTATCGACACAATCACATCATGTCTACAATGGGAGGGGATTTCAACTACTGGGCCGCGGAATTGAGTTTTAAAAATTTGGATCAATTGATTGAATACGTGAATAGCAATCAAAGTGAAGTGTATTTATTGTATTCAACGCCCGATTGTTACGTGAAATCCGTGTTTGAGTCAAACATCAATTGGACGGACACTAAGAGCGATGACTTCATGCCATACGCCGACCGGAGGAATGACTTCTGGAGCGGATATTTCACGAGTCGACCCGCTTTTAAATATCTCATGAATTACGCCAATTCTGTGCTTCAGATCAGCAAACAGTTGATTGCATTGACAGACATCTACTCAGAGACACAGCATTTGATTAGACCTCTGGAGGAAGCCTTTGGTATATGTCTACATCACGACGCCATCAGCGGTACGAGTAAACAGTTTGTTAGCGATGATTACGTCCGTATGCTGTCCAGAGGTCTGGCCTCTTCGGATCAACTCATTTCCATCGCATATCAGAAGCAATTCAAAAGCGATTTAATGCCCCAATTCTGTCATCAGTTGAATGTAAGTGAATGTCTTTATCTGGAAGAGAGGAACAGCTCTTTTGTGGAAATAGCTATTTATAATCCATTGGCTCACGAGGTGTTGGACTTCATAAGAGTACCACTTATTGACACAAACTTTGAGATAATTGATGCCAAGGGGGAAGTGATTGAATCACAGGTTTGTTAATAATAATATAAAATACAGAATTCATAAATCATTTGATATTTATTTGATTATTATTATAATATATAGATTGAAGCGATTCCGGCATATATTCAAGTGCTTCCGGACCGCAAATCTAAGTTTGAGTCCAAATATGAGCTATTATTTGAGGCATTCCTACGACCACTCGCTTTCACTAAATACTATTTACGCAAAATATCGTCACAAAGAGATCCACTTCCACAACAGGTTGTCGCTCAAGACGATGACAATGTCAGTGATATTAGCATTTCAAACGACATATTGTCTGTTATTATTGATGGCAAGAGTGGGATCTTAAAAGGCATTCAATCCAATAATTTTACAGTAAATATCAGACAAAACTTCGGGTACTATACAAGAGGTAACAGTAAGCCTTCGGGTGCTTATGCTATGCACACCAATGGATCTGATCCCGTGGTAATCGCATTGAATGCAACTGTTTCTGTAATCCGGGGAAATTTGTCTGAAGAAGTGGATCAAGAGTTCACTCCATGGCTCAAACAAATCATACGACTCTATAGAGACAATAATGGAGTGGAGTTTGAATGGACTGTCGGACCACTTCCTACTGATATAGACTATGAGATAATCAGTCGCTTTGATACCGGCTTTAGAAGCGATGGTCTCTTCTATACGGACTCTAATGGAAGACAAACACTGGAAAGGAAACGACACTCTCGAGAGACCTGGACTTTAGACACAAATGAATTGGTTTCGAGTAATTACTATCCGATCACAAGTTGGCTATACATTAGAGATCTGTTGAGTGATCTCCAGCTGACTCTTCTGCCCGACCGAACACAGGGCGGCACTAGTCTTAGGGATGGATCCGTTGAACTCATGATTCATCGACGACTACATCACGACGACGGCTACGGTATGGAAGAGAAATTAGATGAGCCGGGAGTCGACGGCAAAGGACTTGTGGTTCGCGGCAAACATATCCTATACATCGATCGCATTGAGGATAGTATGCGAAACGTCAAGATTATCAGCAAAACTCTATTCTGGCGGTCATTACCACTGTTTATAGATATGGGAGACCGAAGTCCGCAAGACTTTACCCAAGAGAACAAAATAGCGGAAAGTCTTTTAATCAAAACTATTGATCCATCCATTCATTTGTTGACATTAGAAGAGTTGGAGGAAAACCTTTTGTTCATACGTTTAGAGCATTTTCTGGAGAGAAACCAAACGTTTGACTCAACCGTAAGCGTAGTATTGAGTGAACTCTTCACAGGGATTGAAGTGTTGGATGCAATGGAGACGGGACTCACAGCCACCCAATCCCTCGATGACATACAGCAACGCAAATTCAAGTGGAACTGTAGGGACTGCGATGGCAAGTATGGCAACCCATTAGATGACCCAGAACAGTTTAGGGCAACTTTCACTCCAAACCAAATCCGATCGTTTGTTTTGAGAGTTAAGAGAATTTCTTCTAACAGTATATGAATTTCATAAATATTATGAATTCATAATTAAGACAATTATATCACAAAATTGTATATTTTTCTATAAGACTAACTTTATTTAACACTAATAAATTAATTGTATAATTTAAGTTAAGTTCAATACTACAATATTTCTCGAATTAAAATTTTAAAATTATTTTTAATAAATAATTTATTTTTGTTTAAAAACAGTTTAAAAATATTAATTAGGAAAATAATTTAATTATTTCAATGGAATGAAAGATTTTCACTAAAAATAAAAACTAGTTTATTAAAACTATTATATTTATAACACAGAATATATGATACATTTACTTATAGTAATAAAATATTTATATAACAAAAAGCATTTAATAAAACATTTCTACACACGAGTCAAAACATATGGAAAGTGTCAGAAAGTGTCAGAAAGTATCAGAAAGTGAGTGAAAAGAGACCGAAAAATTCAATAAATTGACGAATGAATGGAAAGGATCTCTTCAGACATTACCGGTTCTGACATCATATACGATGTGCTCGTATTTGGAGATAAGGAGCGCATAAATGGATGCGAAGACAAATAGCGCCCAAAGACAGAAGACCTGCAAAACATTGCCCACAAATACGATGACCGCAAACATTATGATCACTACAATGACAGCGTAGGCGCAGATAATAAGCTTGTCGTTGATGAGCGACCCATAGATACCAATGGATGACAATATTGTCCCCAAATTAGCCAAAGAGCAGAAGAATAGGAGCACTCGTTGTGATTCACGTCTCGTGTGATGAGACAACTCGTGGTCAGAGCTTTCACTGTAGAAGAGTATCAGTGAACCNGAGTTTTGCTGATAATCTTGACGTTTCGCATACTATCCTCAATGCGATCGATGTATAGGATATGTTTGCCGCGAACCACAAGTCCTTTGCCGTCGACTCCCGGCTCATCTAATTTCTCTTCCATACCGTAGCCGTCGTCGTGATGTAGTCGTCGATGAATCATGAGTTCAACGGATCCATCCCTAAGACTAGTGCCGCCCTGTGTTCGGTCGGGCAGAAGAGTCAGCTGGAGATCACTCAACAGATCTCTAATGTATAGCCAACTTGTGATCGGATAGTAATTACTCGAAACCAATTCATTTGTGTCTAAAGTCCAGGTCTCTCGAGAGTGTCGTTTCCTTTCCAGTGTTTGTCTTCCATTAGAGTCCGTATAGAAGAGACCATCGCTTCTAAAGCCGGTATCAAAGCGACTGATTATCTCATAGTCTATATCAGTAGGAAGTGGTCCGACAGTCCATTCAAACTCCACTCCATTATTGTCTCTATAGAGTCGTATGATTTGTTTGAGCCATGGAGTGAACTCTTGTACCACTTCTTCAGACAAATTTCCCCGGATTACAGAAACAGTTGCATTCAATGCGATTACCACGGGATCAGATCCATTGGTGTGCATAGCATAAGCACCCGAAGGCTTACTGTTACCTCTTGTATAGTA